GGGACCGACGAATACACTAACCCTACGTAGGTATAGATGTAAAATAATATAGTAGTTATTACTAACACCCTACGTATATTAAGTAGAAATACCTGTAACACTGCAACCCCTACTGCCACCCCCGCCACCGGCACTAGGTTAGCTTCTATCCACTCCTCACCAGCTCTTAAGCACCCCTTTTCATAAACAACTGACGATTTGTCACCAGCCTATAGAAAAAAGATACACCAGAAACAGACATTTTACAGAAAACAGATGATTAATATAAACCTAAAAAGAGGATAAGAGAGTGAAGGTTAGTGAAATTGCTTCTATTACAATTGTACAAACTTGGAGAAGGTAGCCATGCATTATTGACTTTGAGGTAGAAACTTCTTTAGAAATGTTAAATTGAGAAAATATTGAAGTTTTGCTCTACACTAATTATAATACAAAAATGCACAAAGGTTTTCCTTAATCATTTTGAGCATATCAATACTGATATGCATATATTTTCACCAATACTCTGAAATATATGACAAACTTTCTTTTTTTGACAAGTAACTGTGCTCTCCAATGAGTTAGTTACAGTGTTTAACAAAAGCAAGTGCTGGTGTTTCTACACAAACCAAAAATAATCTACACCATTGCTTAATTGTAGGATTTTTTGGTTTTTTTTCTGGGGAGAACCAATACATTCAGACACTTCTGTGTAATGTTACATAGCCATGAGCTCAAAAACGGTTCATAAATGGTTAATACTAAAATATATATATAAAGTGAGAGAGTTCAGTTTTCCATTGGAGGAGAAAAATTGTTTTTGAATATATAGAAGTAAATACACATTGTGCATTGTAATGATTTTGTAGACTTACTGCTATTTTACAGTTTAAATCCATTTTTTACTAACTACAATATTTACTCAGTGTTATTCATAGGTTGTACAATCTAAGGGACCCCCGACTCCTTTATCAAAATCAAACACTGAAAATGTTGAAGGACATCCTTGAAATAATATTTTTCATACTTAAAAGTATTATTAAGAATGAAAAATTATACAAGACCTTTTAAGTTGCCAAAGCAAAATCTTAAGTAATCTGTGATGATATATCCCATTAGACATAGGTAAATTAGCTGTGCTCAACCTGGAATGTCTTGAGCAGGTGCATCATTAGTAGCACCTTGATAATATTGTATGAAATAGGTTGGAGGTTCTCTAGAGTTATATTAGTACAGTAATTTTATGTGTATTTTATTAATCATCAGTAAAGTAAATCACATTACAAATGCTATTATCCTTTAGTTACTTTCTTTAATGCATTGACTTGCAATAATGAGCCATAAACAACACAATGAAATGTAAAAATAGTCATGCAACTGGACATAATCAGTGTGGCTGTCACAAAGCTACACAATGGGCCATCTGTGCTCTGCCCACCATGGATACTGAAACCCAGTTTCTGGCATTGTAAGTCTGTAGACATGTTGCTGTGCCACTAGGGGGCATTTTGGATCTAATAGAATTCCACGTTAGTGGCTTTCTTATTGATCAAAATTGAAATAAATGTAGTTATGTTTATTACTTAAAACAGGTGTCAGAAAGACTTCTTTGGTAAAATATAGGTCTAATCATGGAAATTTGCATTTGACAAGACAAAAAGATTAGCACACCACTGAGTCTGAAATGTGCTCTTTTCACGGGAACACAACATACACCTATGTAATTATGCTTATTCAGTATTAAGAACATTTTTCACTCTCATATGGAAGATTGAATCTTCTGTCTATATTATTATCTGTGGAACTGACTAAGTAGTATTCCATTGATGCATCTACACATCCACCTATCCATGATATTTTAGTTATATTTGAAGGAAACATATAATTACTAAAAAGACATCAACTCATTCACTCCTACCTCAAGGATAAATTTTAAATTATCATTTTTTGGTTTCAACCCCAACTAGTTTGGAGTTGGCCAGTAATTTTGTAATCCAAGAAGTTTTAAACCTGGGTGGTTGACACAGTTGAGTTGCCAACCATATAGGACAAACAAGTTCAGCAATGGGGATTCAAACTCCCAACCATTAGAGTGCAAGTCAAGCACCCTAACCACCAGGCCTTTTAAATTAATATATATGCAAATACATCAGATAACATATAAAAGTACTGTATTAACTATGAAAAAATTACACTCCTAAATAAATATTTTAACTGTTTTTGTAATTATTGTTTGTGATGCATAATTCATGGACCAAGTGTAAAAAACACAAAGCCATCTTAACATCTCTACTAAATATTGTACAAGGTACGAATGTTTAAAAAATAGGAAACACAGTTATAGGGCTAGAGAACTTCAAATGTCTTCTAGTTTCCAAAACACACTTAATCAGTATTAGTACCACAAAACTATTGCCTTCTTAGCAAAGACTCCAGAGGTGAACCTTTATGTTCTCACATTTTCTTTTCTTGTTTGCATTATGGATCAGCAGACTAGGAGCATGTTAGTTTTACATAAACAATAATAAACATACGTCAAATAATATGTTAATAAAAACATTGGGTGACATTTTGAGCAAATACACTTTGTCAAGACATGCTTAGGCAAATCAGTACAACAGGTAACTCCTTAAAATGTTAAGACTTCTGAATGTGAACATTACAAGAGAAAAATCATGAGGCTTCAACAGTACAGCTACAAGGAACACAACAATGCAGGAAAGAAAAAACACAGACTACTGGTGACAATTTGTTTATTTTTTAATTGGATATTGTTATTATTATTAGTTAAATAAGTTAAAGCTAAAAATAAATCATAATATAAATAAACATCACAGTATTTGTTGTACATCACAGAAATTTTTCACATATGACAGCATGTATAGAAAAATTAATACACCAATTAAATGTATCAGAATGAGGAAGAGGCAGGTCTATAAAAGAAACTAAGATATGTTTATTAGAGACAGACATTCATTCACAAAAATAAGATTTAAAAAGCTCAACTTAAAAATTATCTACTTGGATTCTTTCCCTCTTGGCTAGGTTCTTAGGTGCATGTCTCTAACCAACTACTTAAAATGGTCTTTGTTATGACCAGCACTGTTTAAATAGTGAGCTAAGGTTAAGTCTGTTGCACCAACAGACTTAATTAACCAAGGTTTGACAAAGAGCATTCTATCAAAACATTGCCCAATAAAAAATTTCTATTTAGGTAATATTACTCTGTTTATTTTTCTATTTTTAACTCCTTTGCATTAATATTTTGAATACATATCAAAATTCACATGTATAAGCACATACGCAAACACAGAATATATAATTAAATCTTAGAACTTTGCCTAACACATACAACAAATTTCTAAAATTAAATATAGATACACAGGCACACAAAATGTGCATACAACCTACCTTGTCAGAACATTAGAAAGGTGATACTTCCAAATCAAAAAGTTTTACACTTAAATTAGTTCAATGAAATATATTCCATTTGTGTATGTCTTCTGTAAATCATGAACTTATTTTTGTTAAGACCACAATATAATCTTCTGAGTACAATGCAAGTGTTCTTAAAAACTAGCATTTTAGCTAGATTCCTATAATTTTGGCAAGAATTTTAGAGTTTTTCTTCCCCTTTTCTCTCTGATTATAAAAATCAAATGTCAGAAGATATAAATCTCATTCCAAAAATTATGATGTATTATATTACATACACGCATCATGCCAACATCTGTCAAAATATTTAACAATCTCCAACAGTTATATAGCTATGTGTTTATTTGGAATCTATATGCCAATTCCACCACCCACCTTTAATCCAAAAATGTGAATAGGTGAATTGTATTAATATAGTACAAGTAAGCAACTATGAACTATGCTTTCATCTAAAATGTTAACTTAAAACACATTATCTTACTTCTACTTTAACATTTACAAGGAATTCCCACACTGAAGTAGAAGTATGGCAAGAGAAAGCTGAAGGAGAAGTAGTAGCAACTTTGGAACACAAACTTGAAAAAACAGCTACATGGTATAATATATAACTAGTGGCTAGGAACAATGGCATCAACCTACTTAGATTCACAGTCATGGTCAGATCAGTGGAGGAAAGAGAACCTGGCACGCCAGCATTCTATGTGGTTTCAAGTTCCCTTGAGAAAGGCTTCAAATACTTACCCACACAGAGATCCCAGAATAGGACAAGATAATCAGAAATGAGGACCAAATCCAAAGGGGGTACAATAAAATGAACTACCTCAGAGAGAAATGAAAAGTAACAGTAACATGCAAATAAATGTAAACAATATTTCTAAATCCTAACCTACAAATTTTACTTGCAATGAAGATGTACAGACTCAAAAGAGATGACAGTACTGTACCAGGTGCAACACTTGCCCAGGAAGCTACTGGATCCTCACCTGAAATAAAAGGTAGTCCAGTAAAGATGATAATTTTCCTTTCCAATACTAATGTATGGAATCTTGAGAAACAAAAAGAAAATTCAAACATATCCACTAGTAGAAAACAACTTGGATAAGGTCAATTCTAAAGGGTCTTCCAGAGGGAAAAGCAGCCAAATTATTTACCTGATTAAAGGAAAAATGGAAACTTGTGTGTACACCTTCCTCAGTGTAATCACAAGCATAAAAGACAAAGATCTTAAACCATCGTGTACAAATAGGAGCAAGCACCTTCTGTATTATAGGTGTCAGAAACAAAAACAAATATGCACAACTACAGAAGCAGCATAGTATCAAATAACCCACATTAAAGAAACAATATAATTAAAATCTGAACATTCCATATTGGCAATAAGAACAATTGTTGACGCACACAAAAACCTCATTTATGAAATATCATGTTCCTGTAAATTGGCAAAACTTGAAGACAATTTGTGGCAAAAATAAAATAAAATAAAGACTACACAAGGTTGATGAAAATACAGAATTATGTTCTGACAGAACATGCCATGTTAACTGGACATAAAACAGACTGGATCAATTATAGATAAACACTCAATTCAATTAAAAAAAAACAAACAAGAAAAATCAAAGAATATTTTTAAATTTTTAAATCAACTGGACAAAATTATCATTAAATAGAGACTCGGGCCCAATAATCAACAGTTTGTGGCTACCACTGGTCAAATTATTACTTGTTCCATCAATCACAATCACATTAGAAGAACCACCAGCTATTCCCATCATGTTTTCTTCAGTTCTCTGGGACACCATATAAAGTGCTTAAAAACCAGTGCAAGCTCACCTGAAGACAAAATATGGAGGCTTTCAAGATGTCACCCTTTCTATCTTAAACTACTTTTGTAGATTAATCCTCCAAGATTTTCTCAGTAAGAGTCACTATGATCTAGGCAGCTGCTGAACATTTTATTTTTATTTGTTCATCATGGATACTCTGCCCAAATCATCTATAAAATAATTCCAATCTTGTTTTGCCAATAAATTAGCAAAGAGTAACAGTTGTAAAAAGATGCCAAAATAAAATTTAGAAAAATTGTAATCACAGTTTTTAACTAGCCAAGTGAGCTTTCAGCAGGGAGTAGAAGTAGAGTTTAACTTCAATTTGATGTCCATCATGCCTTAACTGGACAAGCTTATTTAATCAAATAATAAAATCCTTAAGCCACTGGAATATGATGAAAAGCAACATTAATTCCATTTCCTACCAGATTAGTTATAGGCTCCAATGAGAAAAGTTAATAATAGCTCATCATAAATACTTAATTCTCAAACTGCTGAATAATGAAGCTGTATTGGGAAAGAATGTGATTCCACACCACATCAAGTTGTATTTTAATGTTTTGAACACATTTCAAAAATGTTTAGAATGAAGCCTTATTATAAAAAAATGGAAATAGTTATGTATCCAAATAAGTATGGGTAAGTGAATGCAATATGATAAACACAGACACCTCAACTGGTCAAGAAAATATCTCAAGTCCAAAATGAAGAAGAACTTCAGAAGTGCAGATTAAATTGAAGAAATTATGAACATGCAATCAAAGTTCAGTGGTTTCAATAAATATAAGACTTATAAAAGCCACGAACTGAAAACTTTGAGAAGATGAAAGAAAAAGCTAGAAATTATAGAGTTGGAATATCAGACAGAAAAGCCAGTATTTATTCCAAATTTCCATAATTGAAATCTTAGTTACAAGTAAACAAGGTCCATGATTTGAGTGTCAGACATAATACTATAGGACTGGCCTATGTTCCAGAAATAGAGAGAATTATTCAAATCATATAATAAATAATGATTTGAAGAATGAAATGTTATGTGATTATAATATTACAAGTGGCAGAAGATAAAATGTGGTGGAGGAAGAAGAGAGGGAGAGAAAAATATTTAAAATTCTTGGAAAATCAAAATGTTCTGATAACATACCTCTACAATTCTGTTAATGTAATAAAAATGTTACTGCAAGGTAGGTTGCAAAAAACTGAAACCTATACATTGTACATTTTGTTACTCCCATAATATAAACTTATTTACTTTCTACATATGCAAGAGTGATTTTTTTTAGTTTTCATTTCATTAAAAAATATTTCTCAGAACTTACATAATCTCTTTTTCTTACATCATATCCACATTGCTTGTTTTTAATCATCTCCTGAAAAAAAAATTAACATTTTTTCTATGCATATCTGATAAAATACACATTTATTAAAAAACTTGAGAATTAGCTGGTAGTCTCTAATTGATAATACCCTTTATGTCCAAAAAACCATTTGTTTATTTAATGTAAAAAAAACAACAAAATTTTCACCAAAACAATACAAATGCACTTTGCTTATTTGCCTGTATTGATTATATCTTCTGTTTAATTAACTTACATTTGGTTGGCGTTTACAGCAAGAAAATGGTACTCCACAGGCTTCACGACTTCCTATTTCAACACTTGAGCAGTTGAAATAGTTATTCATGTCCCAGTCTTTTGGCCCTTCAATACCACAACATTCTAGCTGCATGAACACAAATACATTGATAGTGTAAAATGTGATGGTATAAAAATGTTATTAAATAAGTAAATTCAAGATAAACAACCTTTCTCAATCTGAGTACATCTGAAATAGTGTAAATTTTAATGTAAATTTCTACCTGAAACCACAGAAATATTTTGATGGCTTAAAAAAAAGTATATATTTTTTTTTTTTACACAAAATCTTTAAGATTATTAAGCACTTAACTTTTATTTTTCATATTTTAAAAACTTGAATAAAATCTAGAATTAAGTGAAAAACTAATGAAACAATAAGAGTTTATACACACACAAGTTTATACATCCAAATGAGTGAAATACTACTGTGACATTGTACTTTTGGTTCATTGTTTATTAGGTTACTTAAAATAGAGCATTACCAAATCTTTAAAATAACATAAAAAGTGTAGATCAATGAATCATAATACTTATAAAAAAAATTAGAACTAGAACTTTTAATAGTTTGTAAATGCTTAATTTATGTTAGGAATTACAGCATTTTATTTTACAAATCCCTCAGTTATTCTATATTCCTGTATTTCTTTTCCTATCTCCACAGAAAAAGCTGTTATTTGTAAAATATCTTAGAGTTTAAAACATAATTCATATTTACTAGTTACAAAAATTTTGTAGAATAAATGTGAAGTATCAAAACCTGCTTCACTTTTGATACATATCATTATTAAACATATATAAAATTATGAAAAATACCATTCAACTACTTAATATTCCATACCCATTCTTCCTGAATCCAATCTATAAGGTTCTGTCGATCAGGATCATCTCTGTAGTGTATAATAAATGCCTGAAAACCACCAGTTGCCTGATTCTTTATCTATAGAAAAACATTAAAATTTGGTCTTTACATCTGCCTATACTCACTGAAGAGACATCAAAATATGAAGCAAATAAATTAAATATAATACCATCCTCTAAATGTTTTTCTGATAATACGTAACTAAAAATCTATATGAAGATTGTTAACATAATAATGTTATTAATATTATTTCTCCAACCAGGTTTAATATCTATAATTTCTAAGAATTTGTGCGTTTTGTTGTATTCAAATTTCATTATTTTATCATTTTATATTTATTATCTATGCAGTGAGTAGAACACAATTAAGTACTTTAGTTTTACACATATGCTTCATCAAAACCTACACCCCATCCCCATCACCTTTGAACAAAGTTACATCATCTTAGCTAAGAGTACAGCAAAAAAAACCAAACCTTGCATAAATAGCTCTTTTTAAAATGTTAAATTAACATTCCTTCACCATAGTAAGGAGATTTAGGTAGTGTCTTACTGTACTTACTTATTTTTAGTGTCTTAGGCATTAACACAGTTTTAGACTGCTGAATTATTACATGTGAAATTATATTTCTCCTTATTCATTATTTTGAAATGCAAATAATAGTTTAACATGTTAATACTTTTCAGATTAAACTTATTCAGTGTACAAAAATATTATACTCAACTGTAATAGTAGAGATACAAACATTTTAAGTTTATTTTCTAAACTAGGTTGTTTTCTAAACTTCCTTTGTGTGCTATTATTTATTAATATGTTTCTTCAATACCATATTATCAAGATTTGAACTTAAAGAACAAAAACAGCATGGAAAAACCAGTAATGCCTTACTTATGACTTGAATATTTTTCCACATTTTATACTGTGACAATAAAGACAACTAAATAACAAAAAATCAAAGCAAAAGTTTTTACTTAGCAGAAATCCATGTTTTGGGAAAAATAAATGTCACATTACAAAAACCACTGCCAACCACCTTAAACTAGTGCCAATACAAGCTAACAACATGGCACACTATTTCATTAACAACTAATTCAAATACAAGCTAACAGCACAGTACCTCCAGAAAAAACAAACAAAAACAGTGGCAATACAAGATAACAAAGCATTTCATTTCCACAAAAACCAGATGCAATACCAAGTACAAATACAGAAATTCATCTCCAAAAAACATCACCACTGTTATAACGAATTGTATTGGTTGACTTTGACTGGCATAAATGTTTTTCTTTATTTTACTTTTTTCAATTGGTGCTTAAATAATAATTTCAAGGCTAAACCTATCACAGTTAATCAGTGCATCAACTGGAGATTTGAGGACCTAATAAGCAGATGAACAGGCATAATGTATTGGAGAAATGAAAGAGACAGAACACAGTGTTGAAGTGAAAATAAAAATTAAACAATTTTCTGAAGATGAGGAACTGAAGGATAGACAAATCAATCACTGAAGTAGCAGAAGTATTGCAGTGTTGGAGTTAAAGTGAAAATAAAATGACATGAATTAGCTGTATTTAAATAAGTGAGAGAAGTGAAAGCAGCTTTACTTATAGATGAACTACAAAGAAAAAGAGTACTTATGGTCAGCAGGTATGGAAAGAGTTAAACAATGATGAGACTTCTATAGCAAGTATTGATGATCTCAAGTTTGAAAGTGCCAAACTGCATCTACATTACACATTGTCTTTCTCTCTCTCTCTCCAGCTAACCAGCAAGACAAAGAGGTGTAAAAGTCACATTACCCAGGACAATATGTTTTACAGATACACTTTTCTTTCTTCACATTCCTACAACTTCAAAAACAATATGGGTAATCATCTAGGAAGCCAGGAAAGTTCTGAACTGCAGAAATCTAGTATATATACACACATGCATTACAAAATGTGTACCTCAAAGCCTCAAACCATAACTATATAAACAAGTACCTTTATTTCACAAGCTCTCAGTCATCAGTCTCACCAAATAGTGACAAAGAAAAGGCACTTATAATAACAAGTTAGCAGGAACAGATGTATCTAACCTAATGCATTTGTCTAAAGTAGAAACCCAGTTCAATTTCGTTTGAAGATTGTAATAAAAATTATGAAAAGCTTTAAACTCTTTTATCCATATATTAAAGACCATTTTCATTTGTAGAACCTATGATTTCCTTATAAGTTTGTGCAAGGACTTTTTACATGCTTTGCTGTAAAATCCTAATGACAATATTAAAATCCAAAAAAATACATAAACAAATATTTATGAAGATGCAAATATGCCATTCCTAAATAAACTGAGCTGTCATTGCACTGTATTATAATAGAGTAAAATCCTAAAATTTATTTGTAGAATGGGGAGGGAGAAGTACATTTTCTAGTGGTTTGTCCTCTTGGGTAAGCAGTTTATTTGTTCTCACACTCCTGGATCTATGTGACAGTTGCAAGGCTGTCCTTTGTACATAAGATAGAATTCAATGAAACTATTCCATGAAACAATAAATTCCTTTACAAGAGTAGGTGCAGAAAGTAACAACTCAAACTGAATTTATGATGTTCCAGATCATAATTTACACAGTATAAAAATATTGTTGGTATGAGATAAACACTATGTGGAAGAGTGATATATGCAGTATGGGTATGAGATACACACTATGTGGAAGAGTGAGATATACAGTATGTGCATATTATATTTACTCCTGCATGTACTTTAAAATATTACCATTAACTAATGTATCTAAGAAACAGTTTTCAACAAAAATTACAGAACTTAAAACATGAATTTTTTTAATAAGCAATTTTTAAAGGACATTCAATTAGTGTGGTATATAATGTCTTGTGCCATCAAAGTGTAATCTGTGGATGGGTGGACATCACATTAAGACTTAATTTTTAATTAATCTTTCTTTACAGGTATAAAGTAAGAATACAATTGCATCTCAACAAAAGATCACTAGGGATGTGGTCTTTTATCATTAACAGAGCTCACCAGCAACATTTAAATACTTTAACTTTCGTCCAGCTGAATACATTACATACAATATGTACTAGAAATCCTTTGATCAAATAACCAAACATTTAGGCATCAAATAGTCAATGTATTTCTGGGACACTGGAAAATATGGTATATAGAAATAAATATGAAATTTTTAAAAAGATAAAACAAATCATAGATTGAGTAGAATTCAATAATAATGCTTTAATAAAGTACCATATAATAATTACAGATAAGTATTCATAATGTTGTTAACCATCTTTAGGTTTTACAACTGCTAATATTTCTACAGAGACAAGAGAATTTTATGTACAATCTAGTTTTTTTTTTTAGACATATACAGTTCTGGAAAATTGAGATTGTGTAAGATGAACAATGGCATCTTCCGGCTCACTACTGAGCCACTGGAGAGCATATCTAGCACCTTCACTTAATATACATTGTATTAGCATATACCTCTTCATCCCAGTAAAAATCAGCATTTGTCAATAACATGTGCTTCTGTTTGGGACAGCTCTAAGATCCAATTTCATCTTCAGTTAGTTTTGGAAAGTCTCAAGCTGTATCAAGGACTTCCATCTTTTCCCAAGATGACCTTTTGTATATTAGTGGAATTCCACAATATGCTGCAGTTTATTGGGCATTTTAAACACTTCAAATACGTGTTTTGCTGAAGTCATCACCTTTATTTTACAAATTACTAGTACTAAATTGATTGGAAAGTACACAAACAGTTTGAGAATAATCATCTATAAATATAATCTATCAGTTAGTGAAGACCATACTCAGTAATATCCATTGTTTGATGTAGCTAATGACTACTGTTATTGAATGTTTCATTTCATATGATGTTAATTTATATATTAGTCATGTAAAATATTAGCAATAAAAATATTTACAAACATAACCAAATTAATTACAATCTCAACATGTTACTGACATGTTAGTGCACTCTATAAGCAAAACAATTTTTCAATATAACATGCATATTATGATGAATAACATTTTTTTACTCAAAATGTAGAAAATGACATATATTATCAAAAATGAAGAATAGCACTACTTTAAGGCTACAAATACCATATTAAATCACATGAACCATAATATTTTTCACCTAAAGAAATTATCATCCTTAAAGATAATGTTAATTTCAAAATCGTGGTACAAAAAATTTCTCAAATAACATTTTCTAATTATGAGTAATGCTACTATGAACCTATCCAGTCCATAGACAAAATGTGACAATGATGTTCGAGCTGCATGTGCAGCCCAGATCCAAGATTTTTCAAATTATCTGAAATTTGCACTATTTTCTTTATACAGTTCATCAGTGTAAATAATGTTTAGTTTGATGGTATTCCTGGATAACAGATTTTTAAAGAGTTATGCCTATATTACATGTTCTGCCTAATGGAATGAGACATGTTCAGATTTCTCAGGATTGACTGTAAAATTTGTGGATAGATATGCAAAAGCAATCATTCAGCTTCATGAGGTGGTGAGCCAGCTGTCCTAGCAAAGGAATATTTCTTCTGTTTCCTTTATATTCTCAACTGTTTTAAATTGTGATGCTCAAATTGGGAATAGTGTTATAAGATGGTGTTTTTCTTCCAACTTAAAAAAAAAGAGCTTACTGATCTTGACTGAGTGCAGGCCCGCTTTTTGGCTTTTCTTTGCATATAGACTCTTGATACATTAAGAATGACTGAAATCATAATTTGAGTAATAATTAATATGTATTTGTTACTTTATAGATTTAATAGATATTTGTTGTTAGTTTAACGTTTTTACGATTATACTGTGAGTTAAGAATGGCTGCTGCTATGATTCTGTCTGGTTTATGAGCTCGTTGCTGTCCTGATTTAGGATCTTCTTTTTAATAAATTCTTTAAAATGTTAAAAGAGAGAGAGAGAGAAAGGGGACCTGGCGAGGATGTTTACCCTGGGGCCCATGCTGGCTCTCGATGTTCCTGACCGAGTGAATTTGTTGCATATCTGCATGTTGGACAGTAACTAGTCACTGAGGTACAGTAGTATATGCTATATGTTTTTATGTACCAAAACTAATGTAATAAGTGAGTTCAAAAGTAACATAGATTTTGTATACTATTGGTACTACTACTACTACACTAAATAACTTCTTATTTAATCAAATAATGTACTTAATAACACAGAATAATAACACCTAAAAAGCAGACAAAGTCCTATAAGTATCATAATTTTTCTAACTATACTTCTAACTATATTTCTTGGATATCAATATAAAGGCTGACAGAATAAATTAAATGGTGTACAAAAGCTAAAAGGAACAGTTTTGGGTTAAATTTGTAATAATAAATTCAGAATTTTTATTTAGTATTTTTTATTAAAATTGTCAAATTCTTTTTACATAATCTCAAACTTCCTGAATAAATTTCAAATTTTTCTTTTCAGTGTTTGTTTGTAATTAAGCACAAAGCTACACAATGGGCTATCTGTGCTCTGCCCACCACGGGTATCGAAACCCAGATTCTAGCGTTGTAAGTCCGCAGACATACCACTGTGCCACTTGGGGGTTCTTTTCACTAAAACTTTACATTATGTTATTTTCTCTACCCTAAATTAAAATAAGATCAGTCAATATGACTTACCTCATAACCACCATAAAAGAAAAAAATAACTCTAAATTACTCTTTTTTTCTAGAATGACTTCAAATTATGATGGGAAACATTTATTTATCCTAAATAACTTAAAGCCTGTAATAATGTACGTCTATTTCTAATTACATTTTATTGTTTCATTGCCTCTTTAAACTGTTCCTAAACTAATAATCCCACCACACAAGTTGTAAATCACTCGGTGAACATGTAGCTCACATTACCCTATTGAATTATGCAATGCAAGAGTATATTTTTCTATTTTACCCAATCTAACTAACAAGTTTATAATCTTTACATTTTAGTTACTTTTATAATAATAAAGAACACACATGAAAAACAAGAAATATAGTAAATACATGGGTCTATTTTTTGTATTGACTGTCAAGTGTCAATAAAACTTAACCCTAACTTTTTTTTTTTTTTATACTAATTGTACAACAATACTAAGTTTTCATTTAATTAAATAATCCATCTAAGAACACACAATAATAACACTAATAACTGAGAAAATGTCCTATAACTATCAGAATTTTTTTGGTTTTCTACCTACATGATAAGAGCTATTAAAAATTCATCTAAACTTCTCGATGTTTTTCCAGTGGGAATAAAGTTTAAACTGTAAGTGAAATAGTCAACTTTTTGTACAGAAAATAGTGAAATATAATACATCAATTGATAGATTAATCTTTGGCTTTCTATTGGTTATAAATAATATAGTATTAAATATCAGATAACTATTGGCAATTTGTGAAAGAGATGTGACAGGTGGGCATGGCAGGGGGGGATGTGTGTGTGCAATTTTCTAATTTATGCCTCCATAAACAAATAAGATTGAAGACTATAAAAGTTATGCCTTGTTTAAGTAATAACTAAGTTTCAAATGGACAGCAACTGTCTGTTCTAGAAACTTACAAATGTAGAGGACGATGTATCGAAAGTCTTCCGCCTTTCGTCTTCAGGTCCCTTTCAAAACGTCGTCCTCTACATTTGAAGGTTTCTACAACAGGCAGTTGCTGTCCATTTGAAACTTAGATTCATTATGAATACTCTGCATAAGCAGCCTATCAAAGATTAAGCAAAGTTTTACTGAAAAAAACTTTATCTATTTCAGGAGGTTCTAGGGATTATGCAAAATAAAATATGAAAACCACAAAATAAAAAGAAGTATTTTTATTCATGAAATCACCCTTCCTTTACATTGACTCAATAAAAGCTTTGGAAATTCACAGACAAATCTTAAGTAAAAATACTTAATTAAAATATCTAATTTTTGTGTGCAAGACTTTTAATGTTTACTAAAACCTTGATAAATTTCTTGAAGATACACATAGTAAATTCAGAGTTATAACATGCAAAGCTTCACACAAGTGAGCTCAATCCATTAGAGCAACACCACTCTTTAATATCCTGAAGAAGAATAGTCAACCAATCGAAAGCAATCGACTTTTGGGTCTCATTTTGAAAATATTACTTGTAAAGTATTAATGACCATAAAATAAATGGTTTTGCAAATGAAATAAGAAATCTAACAATTACACTAAAAATTAGCTAAATTTCTACATAAACTTTTAGTCCAGTATATATTATGCACTGAACTATAAACCTCAGATTTTAGCTAATATGTTGTTATTTTTTTTGCATACTTACAAATGTAACAAAACCTACTTAATCTTTGAAAAAAATCTGAAGATTCTAACTGTGATAAAATAATCAACTTTTCATCATAAAGATTACATGATACATTTAATAATCTGAAAAAAATGGTACAAAACTTACCCAATCCTTGAAAATAAAGCCCAAGATTCCAGCAGTCATTTCTAGTAGCAGCAGAATGGCCAGAAATATGGCATACTATGTAAAAAATGAACATAGTAACCTATTAATTTCATTAAGAGAGTTAGTGCACAGTATACTATAGTAGTATTTTTACAGATTTTGGTTTACATTTATAAAATCTAATAATTTACTAACTACATTTGAAATAATTTTAATGTTTTGTTGTCTACATGGTTTAGAAATATCAATAGTCATTAATAACAGTACATAAATAAGGAAGTCCTGTTATTCATTAACATTAAATTATGAACAGGTATGTTTGGAAAGATACTAAACAACAATAGTGTTTATAGTGCAAAAACTCAGTGGAAATTATTACATGAATTAGAGGTGAGCAATTATTGGAATTTGTTAATAAATTAATCATTGGGTCCATTAACTAATTACATAATGAGATGGATAAAAATAATGAACTTATTTTCCATTATTCTCACATGAGTTGCCTAAAAAATTGGGTTTTGAAACACATGTTGGCCAGAACACAGATAACATAACAGTAATATTTCTATTACTTAGATAGTTAGAATAATTGATAATAGTAATAATCAGAAACCATAATTTCAATTGATTATTTTCATGACATTTACTGATTTAACTGTAATTTCAATTCTTTCATTATTTTTGTGACATTAACTGTCTGATATAGGTGGGTCAAAGTACATGTTATGACCTTTTACAGTTACATTTTTCAAACTTTAAGCTATATTTTATGTATCTCAATATGCTTGGCATCAAAACAATTTATAATTCAAATTATTATATCTAAATTTAACTTTCTTAATTTCAACAGAATATACACAAGTTTTTAATACTGAACTGTGACACATATTTCTCTTTCAGTCTTTGTATGCATTTAAGGGTCCAATGAATTAGATACACATACTATAAATATTACAATACAGAACATACAATTTGAAAACACAATCTTCTTGCTTTACTTAGATATTAATTTAGTCAAACCTACATGAAATAACCATCTATTTCATCTTTCAAAACATGTCCATAATTCTCTGACATTGCTGCTGGATATGTTTATAACCAACAGAAATAGTAGTTTCTGAGTCACATGAATCTGATGAATATCTATTTTGTTTTGCCATTCAAAGCCACTAACTTGAAAGAAAATCTACAAATGTGTTGACTAGTTGCTGCTCTTAAGAGTAATGAAATTTTTTAAACATATTATAGCTTAGCCAGAAACCCAGTTAAATGATAGTAGTTTTTATACATTCTATTTTGGTGTTATAAATGCAAATTTGAAAGCAAAATGAATTATTTTGTAGACAACCAATTTAATAAAAAACAACAACATAGTTTTACCTAAGTATGTTGAAATACAAATGAGTATTTGCTGAAGTAAATTTTAATTTATTTTTTTTTGTTTATGTATGTTATTATCGTTATATATTATTATAAGATACTAAAATGTAAAAAAAAAAAAACTTATTACATTAGATAACAAAACATAAATGAAAATAATTCAACAAATTCATAAAACCAGTTTGAACTAATGTGTTGTGAATGCAACTTCATCAGTTGTTTATATTAAGTTCTCCCATTCTGGTTAATTGACTGTCACAGTTACATAGGGTCTAAAGGAACTGTATAGTAATAAAAGTAAAAGCAAACAATGTGAAATGTTAGGAAAACAAAGGCTGTATTAGAATAAATAGTTTTAATTGTTTGTTACATTTTTGTAGTCATTCTAGAAAAAAAAAAGATTTATAATTCTATTTCATATTTTTCAATATGTTGTTTCACTGTTTTCACAACAGTTGGTTCAAGTGGAGAAAATACAAGATAAAATACAAAACATTGCCAAAAGTTTTTGATATTCATTTAAGAGGTTTTAGAAGCTATACAAATGAAATGTGAAAACTGTAAGGTGAAAATAAGTATTTCTAGTCTTAGCATGAAAATCACCTTTTACTCAAGACTGACTCATTAAAGTCTTTATAAACTTATTGACAAATCTTTTGTAAAAATGATATTTAAAATCTGATTTTTTGTGTACAATAGATTTGTAATATTATTGTTAAATTTCAAAGAGACAGTATGTGCAAGGTTATAGTAAGTATAGCTTCATGGCGGTTACAACGTTAACTGACAAGACCAAGCCCATACACAGGTAATAAATTAATCAAAATTACAATTCAATTTATTAATTGAGGTTAGAGTTTGTGATTATTACTGTTTTTGATTATTTCCACAACCAATCAACCAAAATTGTGAGTATATTGACTATAACAATAACAACAACAAAAATCAACCAATCAAAATGTGTTTCTGGTTATTCCAGTAATCAATTAATTGAAATTATATTTCCTGATTATTATAATTTTTGATTATTGCAACTCATCAAAATATTACTATTATGTTTGCTTATTGTTAAGCACAAAGCTTGGGGTGGGGCTCATGATTTCAGGATATTGGGATTGATTCCAACTGCCAAAACTTGCTCATCCTGTCCTTATAATGGCAAAGCTAAAATAAACTTAGTATTCCAAAATTGTTTAATTTCGAATTCTAAGTTCAAGGGAGGTCCAGTTCAGTCTACAATTTGATCAACATGTGTTATTGGGTTATACTAGTTTAGGAGAATTCCACTTCTCATCAGTTACCCTGAACAGAAGTTAAACAAAGAGCGATAAGCTGGACCTATATCATACCGAAAAGTATCAAACATACTGTTGGTGTGAACATGCTTTGTAGTAATGGCTAGAAAAACCTACATACTGGATAAAAACTTAGACTTTGAAATTAAACCATTTTCCGAATATTAAGTTTATTATATCGGCTGTTGCTATATAATGTGAAGAACTGAATAGTGGCCAATGACACTTTTTCTTCACTTCACCTATCCAGTGGATAGGTTTTTGTCATAGTGACTATAAAGTACGTTCACACCAACAGTATGTTTGAATGGCAAAGCTATTAGGCTATTTGCCATTGTCACTAACACTGAACTATAGACTAGAGAGAATGCAACTTTCTCATTGCACATGCAGCCAGCTATTTTTCGTCTTCCTATTGAACTGCTGACTAGAAGGGAAGCAACAGTCTAGCAGTACCCCCCCCCCCCCACCACACACACAAAATTATTTTTTCATTTGTACACACCATGGTTTAAGGAACACTGTACTAATTGATTAATTGAATGTAATCAATTAATGGGCTGTTGATTATTTGATTAGCAAATACCACTAACTTCCCGTTCTAGCCTATACATCAAGTCTTTCCATAATGTTTGTGTACTTCTGGATGAAGTTATAGCTACTTACTTTATACTAGCCACAATTAAAACATGTATATAATGTCAACAATATCAAGAGCACTGACTCTCACAATTGTAATCACATAACTTTGTTAGATTTATTCCATTATATGATAATTAATCTTTAAATATTTCAAAAAGAATTGCTTATACAACTAAAATGAATTAATATTCACCCAAACATCAGCACTCTTTCTGTAAAAAATTAAAAAAACATTTTCCTTACTGCTGCTAATAAACACGTATTTTCTCGAAGAGCTCCTACACATCCAGTGAACCCAATTGTAAAAGTAATAGTTCCCACGAGAACTAATATAAAAGCAGGATCAAGAGCAATGTTTGTCAGTCGACTCAAATTGTTGAAAATATCTTTCTCTGTCCATGCCCAGACTCCAATGACTAAGATTGCTAAACCTATAAGCTTCAAAGGAAAGAACAAAGTAGTTAGGAATTTCATTAGACACAAATCAAAAATACAATTTAAAATCAATGAAGAAACAATTCTAAGTTTCCCATTTTGAAGGTTGATTGATCAAATTAATAACACAGTCATACATATTCCAAAGGAAGAAGTACTTCTTAGTTACTTGGCATAATTAAGCAGAGAACTTGAAATGTTTCATTAAGTATAACAAGGTCAATGGTGGTTTTAATGGAAAAATCACAAAAAAGTTATTTTCATAAATTACTACTTTGTGCAAAATACTTTTTATTTTTAAAAAGGACATTTGTTATTCTATATAGTAAATGAGCAGTTGATTAAAGATGTCAAGTTCAAAAGGTGTTAAGAAACAATATGTAATGGTAACCGTTCAGGGACACATCAAAATACACCAGGTGTATGAGTTGACGAACCCAACCAGCGAGCATAATAGGAGAAAGATCAAAAGTGTTTCATAGAATTCTACTAAAACTTTAATAACAACTTCATAAGCCAACACCATAAGTATTGCATTTTTAAGCTATTATGAACATGTTTTGCAGTGAAAATCTGTAGAAACAGAAATTTCTCAATAACTCTACTGCAAAGTTTCTTCAAGATTACTCAGGTCTGAAAGTTGAAAGTGGAGGAAAAAAAAAAACTGATTTGTTCATCAGTGCATGAAATGAACTTATTTGAAACTATTGGTTCAGAACCTTAATGATGGAAGAAACTTAGCTAATGAACCAAGACAGTCATTACTTTTGGCTTAATCTTGTTGTCAAAAATGGAAAAAAAAAGGTACCAGTAAATAATGCAAAATAGAACAAAAAAATGGGGAGAGAGGATACAAAGAAACTGGACATTTTTTATTTCTGTGCAACAATTTTTATTTCTCAATTTATATCACTGCAATTATTTTTGGTTATTTTTCTCATTTAATATTATTAATGATACCATTATTATCAAATGTCAGAACCAATACAATGAATATTTTGATGACGAGCAATACACATTTATAAGATAAAAGTTTTGAGACTGTTTGAATGGGTAATGAATAAAACTATTATAAATTTACAATGTTTCAACAAGATTATGTCATCATCAGGTACAAGTAGTTTACACAGACACAGGAATATATATATATATATATATATATATATACACACACAC